GGGCCCAGCCGCTCTGCGGGCATGTGGGATCCTCCCGGACCGGGGCACGAACCCGTGTCCCCTGCATCGGCAGGCGGACTCTCAACTGCTGCGCCACCAGGGAAGCCCCCTGAGAATGATTTTAACCTCATTTCACAAGTTTTTATTTGTTGTATTTTCATGTAGTATAAAATATTTATTAAATTTCTTTTGTTTCATCTTCTACATAAAATTATTTGTGTCTTTAACTTCCAGATATTTGAGTATTTTCTAGATATCTTACTGTTATTAATTTCTAATCTAGTGCATTTGCTGTCTTTTTAAATTTGAGACTTTTTTATGGTCCAGCATATATGATCCAGACTCTATTGCTGGGTGTTGAATTGGAGAAAGTTAAATGATTTGGAGGCATGTGGTGTAAGAGGTAGAATTCATTGACTTTTTTTTTCAAGAGTTTTAAAACATCTACTTTATTTTATTATTGAAGTATAATTAATCATTTTGTGTTTATTACTGCTGTACAGCAAAGTGATTCAGTTATACATGTATATACTTTTTTATCATTCTTTTCCGTTATGGTTTATCATAAGGGTATTGAATATAGTTCTCTGTGCTATACAGTGGGACCTTGTTGTTTATCCATTCTGTATATAAAAGGTTACATTTGCTAACCCCAAACTCCCACTCTATCCCTCCCCCAAACCCCTCCCCCTTGGCAACCACCAGTCTGTTCTCTATTCATTGACCTTTTCTGCCCCCACCCCCCTTCATTTTCTACTTAATATCAGGTAGTGGATTAGGACCCGAGTACAGTGGTGCACTCTTCTAGTTTACTATATAGTTTAGGAAACAGAGTATAAAACAAGGAAATAAAAACAAGGGAGTAAAAACATAAAAATACATTGTGACAGGTTTTGTAGGAGAAAGAGAGTCAGCTAACAGAGAAAGCCAAGTTTTTTCATATGAAGATAATAACTTAAATTTTTAATGTGAAGAAGGTTGTGTGGGTTTTTCTTTAGTTTCTAAGTGATTAGAGCCATGGAATGGAGCAGTTAAGTTGTAGCTTTTTTTTCCCTCATCTTTATTGGAGTATAATTGCTTTACAATGTTATGTTGGTTTCTGCTGTATAACAAAGTGAATCGGCTATATGTATACATATATTCCCATACCTCATCTCCCTCTTGTGAGCGGCCAGAGGGCTGGCTACTGATTCTCTTCGTTGAGCCCAGAAACACAGGCTCAACAGGCTTTTGTATGAGATGTTCTTTGGTGGCTGTTAGTAGGCAGTGAGAATATGATTTTGAATTCATATTGGACCTTGAGTGTTAAGAGATGAAAATTAAGGGACATTAAGGGAAGCCTTGGCAAAGCACAGAGTATGAAGAGCAATAGGGTAAGGGCTGATTCTTGAGCAAATTCAGCCTTTAATGGTAGAACGAGACCTGAAAAAACCTTGACAGAGTATCAAGAGAAGTAGAGAGAGAACCAGGGAGAGAGTTATATAGAAGTCTAGAAAGAGAATGATTCTCGAAGAAAATGGACACCAAATTTTGCTGAGGATCTAAGACTGAAATGCACTTGCTGGATTCCACTGACACAGGACACAGGAGTAATTGTATTTTCTGTGAAGATGGAGATGATGGTAATTGACATTAGGTACACTGAATTAGGGAGATAGTGTGGACTCTTTATAAGCTTTTGCTCTGGAGGGAGGACTAAGTGTAGCCGAAGCAGATCTGAAGATGTTGGCTTTAGAAGGGAGGGAGGGCAGACATCTTTCTGGTAATAGGAGTCATAGGTCAGTTGTGGGAGGAATTTTTGTGTAACTGGAGACATGAAAGTAAGAAAGACTCCACTGAACTTTTTTAAAGTAGAGTATAATTTACGTTCAAGAAAATGCACATATCTCAGATGATCAGTTTGATGAAATTTTTGACACGGTGTACATTGTATAGCCACTAACTGAAAAAAATAATAAAATATTTCAGTTGCCCCGGAAAGTTCTCTCTTGCTTCTCATTCTACCACCATATCATATTCCTGCAAGGAGGCAACCAACTTTTTTCCTTCTATTGACTTAAATAAACACATTTTGCTATCGACCTTAATAAATTTTACCTATTTGTGGAATTGGAGTTATAGAGCTTTTTTTTTGTCTCGCTTCTGTTGGTCAGCATTATAGAAGTTCATCCATGTTGTGTGTCTCCGTAGTTTCTCTTCGTTGATGAGTAGTATTCCACTCTACATACCACGGTTTGCTTATTCTTTTGTTGATGGATATTTAGATTGCTTACACTTTGGGGCTATTAAGAATCAGATTGCTATAACCATTTTTATATGAATCTTTGTGGACATGTTTTAAAATTTTTTTCTTGGGTAAATATCCAGGAGTGGAATTGCTGAGTCAAATGGTAGGTATACTTTTTAAGAAACCGGCACATTGTTTTCCAAAGTGGTTGAACCATTTCACACCCCCACCTTTAGTATGTGAGAGTTTTGGGTATGCTGTATCCTTGCCACCATTTAGTGTTTATAGTCTTCTAATTTTGACTGACCTGGTGCGTTAAAATGTTATACCATTAGTTTTAATTTGCATTCATCTGATGACTAATGATTTTGAGTAACTTGTCATGCTTATTGTTCCTCACTCATTAAATTTTGTGAAGTGTCTAAGTGTAGCTCTTGTTGAGTTTTTTTTTGTTTTGTTTTGTAGGAGTTCTTTATGTAGTCTGAATGTGAATTCTTTGTCAGGTGTACGTACCGCAAATATCTTTTTTCCCCAATCTGTGGCTTGCCTATTTATTTTCTTTCTTTTTAAAAAAAATATTTATTTATTTATTTTGGGCTGTTTTGGGTCTTCATTGCTGTGCGCGGGCTTTCTCTAGTTGCAGCGGTGGTGCCCAGACTTCTCATTGTCGTGGCTTCTCTTGTTGCGGAGCATAGGCTCTAGGCATGTAGGCTTCAGTAGTTGTGGCACATGGGCTTAGTTGCTCCGCAGCATGTGGGATCTTCCTGGACTAGGGCTCAAACCTGTGTTCCCTGCATTGGCAGGCGGATTCTTAACCACTGTGCCACCAGGGAAGCCCCTATTTTCTTAATAATGTCATTTGATGACTAGACATTTTTAATTTGGTAAAGTCTAATTATTGATGTTTTTTAATGTTTAGTTCTATTTGTGTCTAGTCTAAATGTTGTGTAACTCAATGTTGTTAAAATGTTCTCTGGATTTTACTTTTTGGTGTCTGAGTTATCTCAAAAAGGTTTTTTTTAATTCAAATTTTTGTGTATGCAGTGATAATGAAGGTCAAAGTTCCTTTTTGTCCATTAAATTCTTGCAGCACCTTGTTTTTTCCCTAATTTGAAGATCTAATTGGCTTTCTTAGGCGATTTATGAATTAGGCAGCATCCCATCTACCAACTATAGAAGGGTGCTGTCTCAGCACTATTTATTAAAAAGACCACTTTCCCTAATGAATTTCTTTATTCCTTTATTGAAAATCATTTGACTATGCACGTGTAGGTCTATTTCTGTTTTGTTCCATTGACCTTTTTGTCTATACTTATTCCAACAGCTCTTCATTACTGTAGTAAAGTTAGTAATAGGAATCTTCCAAATTTATTTTTCTTTCTTAACATTGTTCTGGCTCTTCTAGATCTTCTGCATTTTGGTACCCATTTTAGATTTGGTTTGTCAATGTCTAGAACATAACCTGCTGAGATTTTGGTGATGACTGTGTTGTATCTGCAGATGAATTTGGGGAGAGTGAATACCTTAATAATATTGACTCTTGCAGCCCATGAAAGTGATATAGCTCCTCACTTATTTAGGTTTTTTATTTCTTCCAGCATGGTTTCACAGCTTTTATTTGGTTTATTTCTATGTGCTTTATATGTTTTATGCTATTATAAATGAAAGTATTTTTTAAGTTTCATTTTCCAGTTCTTTGCTGAGTTATGGTTTTTTAGTTGTGATTACTGTGAAATGAAATGCAAGACTATTTGCTGAAAGCAAGGGTCATGTAAGACAGTTTGGGGTTTAGAAAAACTGGTGAGAGTTTTACATGGTTTTGGGGAGATTGGGTTACCACTTATGCTTTTCTTTAGTATAGATGCTCCTTCAAGGTTAGTGACTGTTTTGAAAGCTGCTAGTGTGACTGGGTGTGTGCAGACTGGTCTTTCCAGGTACCTTCAGGAGGGAAACAGATGGTTGGAATCATCCCAGACTGGTCTTCTGCTCATTGAGGGTATACTAGGTGGAGGATTAAAGGAATTTGGACAAAAATTTGTAGAAGTGGTGGAACATGATGGATCTCTCAGCTGAATAGGTGGGGCAGTGAAGAAGAATTTGCTGTTAGGGAGCAAGGTGGTAGAAGCCTGGGTGGCCTGGAATCCCCTCTAAGTGGTAGAGTTTATGTGAGAAGAATGTTGTGTAGGAGGTTTTGTCCAGAGGGCAAATTTCTGAATCATTGTTTGTGAAGTGAATCTGATTCTGGTGATGACAAGGCCTGGGCTGTGGCCTACAGCTGTGTATGTTGGTGTGGAGTGGGGGGCCAAAAGGCATTGGCGATCAGAACACATGGTCCAGATGGACCAGTCCTCATGGAAGCTGGAGCCATCCTAAGCCAGGAGGACTATGCCTTGAAGCTGAAGAAGTCTGGGGCCCAAGTGTTCAATGAGTGACAGAGTTTAACAGAATTGTAACTGGGGACAAATTACTTGAGAGAGTGAATCTGAATCTTACTTGAGGTAGGTCAGGGATGTCCACCACATTGCCTGGAGGTTTTACCTAAGCAGGGTTAAGGCCCAAGCTTAGACAGGCTGCTCCAAAGAGGAAACGCTGAAAAACAAAAGTCAGAATTGTCCTGTTAGTGGGAGAGACAGAAAGCCTCTGGCTACACCTAGTAGTCTTTTTCTCATTTACTACAGATGCCTGCTCCAAGAGTCCCATGAGAGCGAGAGAGTAGCTTTCTGGTGCCAGTGCCCTGCTTTCATTCAGGCAAATTTACTATCATTCTCGGAGGATGGCAGCTCTTGGTCTGTCTCCCACATGTGGTAAGTTCTTCGGGTGATGAATGCCCTCAGAAATCCAGCTTTGGTGGCCAGTGGCCCCAGCCCCTTCACTGAGGGCAAGGATGTGCACAGCTAGTGGGAGGGCTGCCAGGTTAGAAGTGGAGGAGGATACATGAACTGAACGGGGGTGGGAGTGAGTGAAGTCCTGAGAGCTCCCCAGGTGACTGTGTCTGATTCAGGGTCTTTGTGAGTTTGGGTGAGGCAGGGAGTGTTTGTAGTTGCTGTGTAAGGAGGGATACTGGTCATTGGTAACCCTGCGGCATCCCATTTATTATTTTGATAAGTCTGGGTGAAGTAACAGCGCTATCTCAGAGCTTCTATTTCTTTACCCATAAATTGAGAATGTATATCATTATCTTTATGGCTATGTAGGCCCACCACCCTTTTTCCTGCCCTTGAGGGCTTCTCTGGCTTGTTGCACAACAGTGTGTGTGAGTGAGTGTGTGAGGGAATGTGAGATTGGGGCATGTGCACTGCACACATATCGTTAGTGTGAGACCGTTTCCTGATCTGCGAACGTCAGGTGGGCTTTAATCCTCATGGGTCCTCTCTTCTCTAGCTATGTCCAACCAGGAGCCTGCCTATGTCCATGAGTCAGAAATTCCTCTTTCTTCAAAAGACCATTCCTGTCCCCAGGATGTGGAGCTGTTTGCATACAATGGCCTGGAGCCTCATACATCAACCAGTGTTGGTTCCCAGGTACACCAAGATCTCAAGGCCCCTGAGGGTGGAGGAGGCACTTCCCTAGAATGCCTGCAACATCACATGTTAGGATTCTTTTAGATCTTTATCCAAGCTGATCGATGCATGATCAGGGTGCAAGA